CATCTATTGAAAAACATCATACTATTTTTCTTTTCCTGAAGTGTGTATACATTTTTGTGCCCCTCCCCTCCATATATCTCTTATAGTTAATTTTCCCTTTTTGCTATGTGAGTTTAGAAAGTACAAAACTAGGATAGTACAAAAAATTTGGAAATAAAAGAAAGTTATGAGGAAATAAACTGTCAAATAATTTAAGGTATTCGAAAAAGAAATAAGCTTCTGGAGGTGGTGAGTCTTTCTCCCACTGGAAGCAAAGATATGTTAATCATTCAAATACATTGCATAGAACATTTCTGCACTATGAAGGAGATTGTTCTAGGTAAACTTTAATATTCTTTGCAAGTAGAAGATTATGATTTGAAGTGCTCACTGACTGCAAAAAGTACCCATATATTTACTGATTTTTAACATATGAAACTTTAAAAAAGGCACTAGTATATTTTATTGTTATACTTATTTGTTATACAGATTCTGTAATGACACTTAAATCTCTTAAATATTCACTTTTAATCTAGCTACTGGCTTTTGCAAAGAATTTGAATGTAGAATTCAGCGTGGAGGCAGAAAGAATGATTCATGGTTATTATCTAGCAAGTCGCAGAATCAGAACAGATTCTATATATGGATCAAAACTGTCAGCATCTGCATTAAAATATTTGTAGGTATTCAATTCAAAATGCTAAGGCTAGAATTGACTTCTAATTGATGTGTTTAATTAACTTGCTTATCTATTTCATTTGTTTCTGTTTGTCTGACTACTGGTGGGTTGGTTTATAACTTAGCTTGTTCCAAAGAATTTTAAATGGTTTAACAATTTCATTTGTTACACTTACATCACTTGAGCCTCCAATAATTGTTTTCGCTTAATTTTTTATTTGATCCCTTGTATGAGATGTGTCTAAGAAAAGCACAGATTTCAAATGCAAACAATTGCTTTTTAAAGTGTGTCTGTTTATATTCCAAATTGTAGTAGGACTTAGAAAAAATTCTTAAGTATATTGCTTCTTGCACTTTTAAGTACTTTATTACATTCATCTATTACTGTTCCTTCAAGTTTAAAAAAACCCAGTTTTTATTATAAAACAAAGTATGGACATAAAAGTCTAAAATGATGAGTAAAGTAACCTACTAATCTTACCTATTCTTGTCTCACTCACCATAATCACTATTAACAGTTTTTATGTATCTTTTTAGAAATTATCCACTCAAATGTTAATGTATATATAATTTAAACATATAAATACATTTTATTTAAATTCATTTAAAAATTAATGTTAAACATATATAGAATATTGCATATGAATTACCCAAGTGGACTGAAGCATATACAGAAAAAATCACTTCATTCTATTTTAATTGCTGCATCAGTTTTACTGTGTTGTGATGAGTAGTATTGACATAGCTTAACCATAATTTATACAGTTCCCTACTGACAGACCATTACTTCACTTGATATAATTTTAAATATAATCTCAAATTATGAAGCAGAAGCAGGAGTAAAATAGTTCATTAAGCAAATAATACAGTATCATTACTGTAATACAAAATAAGAAAAAGGAAGGACTGGAAGGAAATATCAAATATAGGGCTATAAGAGATAGATATATTTAGTTAATTTCCCCAGCTATATATTTATTTTCAGAGTTAAAAAAACTTCAAAAAATAAGGCAAGGTAGAAATCAATTTGATAATAAACAGAATTATATAATGCTTTTCCTTTTTTGCAGTAATTTTTAAAATATTCAGATCAAATTATACTGCTTCAAAGTTTTGAAAGATTTAATTTTTTCATGATGTATTTTTGTGCGAGTAAAAAAATTTTGTGTTTAAACTCAGATAGCCTCAGTTCACCTCTACTGAGCTAAAAGGAGGGCAGTATTAATTCAATAACATGTATTAATTGAACATATTAATGGGGTTCAGTGTGATATTTCCATGTATACATTTAGCTGATGAAATCCAACCTTATCCCCCACCTTCCCAATCTCTAGTAATCAGTATTCTACATTCAAGTTGCCTTTGTTTAGCTTCCATAAGTGGGAAGGAACATGCAAAATTTATCTTCCTGTGTCTGGCTTCAGTACCTGTAATCCCAGCTATTCAGAAAGTTCAAGCCCAGCCTGAATAATTTGGTGAGACCATGTCTCAAAATAAAAAATAAAAAGGGATAGGGATATAGCTCAGTGGTAGAGTGCTCCTGGCTCCAATTCTCAGAAGGAAGGAGAGAGAGAGACAGAGAGAGACTGAGAAATAGATTGTCTCAGGAAGCAATGAATCCTAGGAGAGTTTCAAATGAGTAGCCTGGATTGTGTAGAGGAAATTCACTTATCTGATAACTTTGAAACCCAAGCAAGATCCCTTCAAACACTGAAACTGCAAATTTCTGTGAGGACTTCAGATGGGTAAAGAACTGGACAAAAACATCAGGGATTTGTGTTCAAGAAATACTTAGTTACATTTATTTTCCCAACTCTATGTGTACATGTATCTGAACAGAACTAGGGGTGGAGATGGGTGGAATGATAAATGGAAGTAGGGTAGAAACCAACTCTTTGATAAACCAGGATATTTGTTTGTTCTGTAACATTCTTTGTAAATTGGTAGGAAAAAAAATTTAAAGAAAAATTTTTCTAAAAAATGGGCTGATCTTTAATGTGTGGTTAATATTCATATGTCTTAGTCTGTTTCTACCAAAATACATGTATTTTTATAATATCAACATATTTTATTTTTTTTAATCTTTAAATTTTTTTGATACTGGGAATTGACCTCAGGGCCTCGTGCTTGCCAAGCACGGTGCTGTGCTGCTGAGCTACATCCCTCACTCCAACATATTTTTATAATATGAATTTTCTTTTTTTAGAGTTTCTTTATCTGAAGCCCATACACGATTAAACTTAAGGAATAAAGTGCTGAAAGAAGATGTACTAATTGCAGCCTTGTTATTTGAAACATCTCTCACATGGAAATATGGTAATAAATTTTTAATGATCAAATAATTTAATGATACTTTAATTTTAAAAATAATGTAATTTAATGTAATGGTTAAATAATTTTATTTAAATATTCTTTAATAGAGTATTGCATATATTTTAAATATTAAAGAATTATAAATTGACAAGATTTGTTTGAATTTGAACACATTTATTATTTATAGTAGTATGATCTACTATTGTTTCTTACTATGCACTGCTTGGTTTTATACTTGAAATTTTGTTTGGTTAAATAATTCTAGGGGGGAAGTACTTAATACAACATGTGAAATTATTTAATGTACATTCAGTTTTGAAATAATGGTGTATTTATCAAGCAGTCCTCCATAGTGGAGTTCAGCACATAGCCAAACTTTTCACCTCCCTGAATTGCTAGATTTAATACTGACCGCAGTGCTTAGTCATTTAAAATGAATGATACTTACTGTGCTGTTGCTAATACAAATATAAAAGACCCCTAACGTAAGGGTAAGGAGACTTAAGTCTTATAAAGTTTTCACTAAATTAGATATCATCCTTCAAACCATTTTAACACTGGCTTTTCTATGTGTTTAGTGCTCAAATGTGTTTAAATTACATTTATATTGTGCTGTCACAAAGATCCATCTGAACCTTACAGTCTTCATTCTATAACTGTCTAAATCAAATTCTATAATTGTCTAAATCAAATTCTTAATCTATGATAAAAGGATGCCTCGAGTCCTAGGGGTTGTGAATCCCTACATTATATACAATTTGTGTGTGTGTGCTCTTTCCTAGGGAGATAGGTTGTAAGTTTGAAATATGTCTTAAGAGATAGATGACTACCAGAAAAGATTGTCACTATGAACTACTTTTACTTACCAAACAACAAAAATACTGATTTCTAACCAATACAAAGATAATAGGGAGATATATAAATAATTTGCTTTGTGTTTACATTCTTCTCTTACTTAACCAAGCTGAAGACATTATTTTACCTTAAAGAAAAAAAAGTTGCCTATTTTACTATGATGTACCATCCATTGTTAAGACATGTGGGTTTCTGTAATATGTGTCTTTACAAACACACTTTACAAACTATGACAGATGTATGAACTATGACATAATATTAAGGACTCCTGTTGTCGACTATGAGAGAATATTTTTCTCTATTTTGCTATTTTTAAAGACTTCCTTGAAGCATTTGAGGGAAATAAAACTACATGACTTTCCCCCTTGAGTCTCTTTTGTTTTCATAATGAATTCCAGTTAGGTATATTGATTTTTAAGTCTGAAGTAAAACAATATTAAGAGCACCGTAGATGCATTTGAAATGTACAAGAAAATGATCTTTACTAAAGGATATTTTTCTTGGATAGGAATTGACCTGAAAAGTACAGGCAGCTTTATATAAAGCCACTTCTGGGTTTCCTAATGATTATATGGTACTTTAAGTATAAAATTAATTTGCCCTCTCTTTTATATTACTTACATACCATAAAGTATACATTAAAAGAAAACTGTGAAGGTACTTCATGGTTAATTGTAATTTCGACTGATGTTTGCTTTTTTTTTTTCTTCTTTTTCTGGTGCCGGGAATCAAACTCACGACCTTGCGCTTTGCCAGGCAGGCACAGTGCCGCTGAGCTATATCCCTGGCCCTAGACTGATGTATTAAAATGAGTTTTATGTGCTCTCTTATAATTATCATTACTGAATTAAGAATTCATGATTATTTTATTCAGTGAGCCAACAAATGTTTATTGAATGATAACTAGGTGCTAGACCTCTGATATAATACAATTGTGGAAAAACAAAGTCTCTACCTGGGTAATACTTATAGCCTAGTAAGAAAATAGGCATTAAAAAAGTAAATGTAATGTAAAATAAAATTTGAGAGAGATACTGTAAAGAAAACAGATTGTTATAAGGAATAATAATAAAAGGTACTTACTTTGATTTTTTTTTTTTTTGAGACAGGGTCTCACTGTGCAGTTCAGGCTGGCCTCGAACTCAGGGTGATCCTCCTACCTCAGCCTCCAGAGTGTGGCTTCTTACTTTGAATTTTTAGGAAGACTTCTCTCAGGAAGTATTATTTATTTAATCTGAGGGATAAAAATCCAGAGAGAGGGAAAGTACTTATGCAGGTGCTTTCAAGAACATGGAAGAGGCCAGGGTGGCTAAAGCACACTGAACAAAGCAGAGTGGTACAAGTTAAGTTTGGAGAGGAAGAGAGGGCCGGATCCTGCAGAGCATCACAGATCATGGTTGAAAACTGGGATTCTCTTCCAAATACAATGGGAAGCCACAGAAAGGCTTTAAGCAGATAACTAATATGATCAATTACATTTGTGAAATATCGTTGTCTTAGTGCAGTGGTGGGGAACTTATGGCATGCCTGCCTCAATGGGCTGTTACCACGGAAAGCTCTAAAAAGTTCACCATCCCTGTGTTAGTGGATGTGGAGAATGAATTGGAGGGGTTAAGGGTGGTCTGACAGACAAGTTAGGAAATTGCTATCATAGTCCAAGGCAACTGATAACAGTTTTGACTACATAGAGGTGGTAGAAATGGGATACATTTCTACCACTGGGATGCAAAACCCAATAGGTTTTGTTCATGAACTAAATTAGGAGTTAGGGCAGAGATAAGGGGAAGGAGAGGAATTAAAGAAACCTCTCAGGTTCATTCTTTGAGCAACTAGGTGAGTCATGGTGCCATTTACCAAGACTGGGAAGAAAGACAGAAAGGAAAGTATAGGTACGTTTATGATACCCTACACAGGTATCAATAGATAAAAGAATGTGGACTTAAGAGTTCCAATCTAGGAATATAATTCAGCATAGAGATGGTATTCAAAGCCAAGAAGTAGATGAAATTATCTAGAGACTACAGAAAATTCCAGCACTGACCTTGAAGAATTCAGTACTTAGAAAGGGGAGCTGAGGAGGAATTAACAAAGGAGACTAAGAAGCAGGAGCCAAAAGGTAGAAGGAAAATGCAGCATGGTCTTACAGAAGCCAAGAAAGAACGATTCCCAAGGGAGCAGATTGGCCAGCTGTATTACACACTACTGACAGTTTAAGATTACATTTAGTCGCCTAGAGGTTGTAGGAAGCTATTAGCAACCTAAACAACTTCGAGATGTTGGCTATGCAGATTAGGAAAGAAATGGAGTATTTAGCTGGAGAAGGTATAGTCCGAGAAGGGATATGTAGTTTTAAAAAGTAAGGTATTAAAGTCATATGATGTGTAGTGCACTGATTCTACAGAAAGCACGCAACACCTGACATGGTAATACGTTCCCGCAGTCTGAGACCAGCCTGGACAACATAGCCAGAAGAAAAAAAAGGCAGGGCAGGGGGACCAATGAGGTAAGACCTTAAAAATATGAAAAAGATGAGCAGAGATCAGATCCAGAACACACTGCTCCAAGAGGTCACTTCCTGATTTTATTGGAGGCAACAACGTAGACACAGAACTAGGTAGGTATGCAGACTTGGGCTTATACTGTACTGAAGGCCTCATTTTGGTTTCCAAAAAAAGGTCAGATTTAAATAATTAAATACTCTACTAAATAGATCAAAACTTCATTTTAAAATCAGTAGGAGCCAGGCATGGTGGCACCTGCCTATACTATAATCCCAGCACTCAGGAGGCTGAAATATATGGTGATACCTTGTCTTCTCAAGCAACCATACACACACACAAAACATTCACTATTATGGTTGAAAATAAGATTTAATATTTAGCATGTTAAGGAGTATTTCCCATCTACACTGAATTTCTTTCTTTCTTTTAGGAGCCACTGCATTTGGTGTTGCTCCAAATGCAGTATTTCCATTTGAACTGTACAATGAAGAGTACTTAGAACAAAGGGATCTCTATCTGACTGAATGCCAACAACAGCTTCAACAGTTTATTGCCACATATGGACCTGGAACTGTTTTTTCTAGTGATGAATAAGCAATGTGAGGAAAATTTTTTCACTTCTACTTAAGCAATGGGAAGAAGTATGTTTGAAAGGTTTTCAAGTAATGTTTCAAATAATACCATTTTAAAACTATAAAATTGGTTCTTTCTTTGGTGGCAGGAATCAAAGTGAGGACCTCACACTTGCCAGGCAGGCACTGTGCCACTGAGCTATATCCCTGGCCCAAAATGTAGTCCTTTAAAAATAAATTGAGAATGGTATAAACACTATGCTAAACCTCTAAAACCAACAGGGTAATTTTAAAACTTAGAAGCATGTAGACAGTTTAAAATTACGTTGTCAAGGAAAATCCTATTTTTAAAGATTTCTGGCTGGGTGGTGGTGACACATGCATACTATAATCCCACCTACTCTGGAGGCTAAGGCAGAAGGATCACAGGTTGGAGGCCAGTGTGGGCAATTTAAGTGAGACTGTCTCAAAAATGAAAATTAGAAATTATAAAATGGGCTGAGGATATAGCTCACTAGTAGAGCACCCTGAGTTTAGTCTCCAGTACAAAGGGGGTTTAAAAAAAAACCCACAAATTTCTGGTTAGCCTAGTATATCAGAGATAAAAATACAGAATGTTGCAATGTAGAAGTGGTAACTTAACACAGTTCATCCTACTTGTCACAAGGTGATAATACTTTATTTCCCTACAAATTAAACCCTTTTTTAGCCGGGTGTGGTGGCGCACACCTGTAATCCCTGCACTTGGGAGGTTGAGGCAGGAGGATTGTTCTGAGTTTGAGGCCAGCCTGAGCTACAAAAGTGAGTTTAAGACCAGCCTAAACTGCATAGTGAGACCCTGTCTCAAAAAGACCAAAAAATAAAAAATAAAAAATAAACCATTTTTAACATTTTTGAAGTTGCCAAACTTACATGATGTGAAATTCCAAATTTAAGGCCTCTTCTTGCAATATGCATTGGATTTTCTGTTATGTTAAATGGAAAAAAATGGAATCAGCAATTTATAAATTGGCCCTCATCCTAAGTTCTAAAAGACAAAGACAATTTGCAAACCAATTACTGCTGGAGATGGGGTGTCATGTTGCCCTGGCTGGCCTCGAATTCTTGGGGAGAAAAGTGACCCTCCTGCCTCAGCCTCCAAGCAGCTGAGACTATAGGTATGTATCACTGCATCTGGCCTGCACTTCTGGGGTTTGTTCTGAAAACAGCGGGGACATCAAAACATACCAATTTCATAAAAATTTCTTTTTTTGGTGGTAATGGAATTTAACCCAAAGCTTTCACACTGATCTACATTCCTTTTTCTTTTTTTTGAGATAGCATGGAGGAAAAATAGTATTTCTGAACTCATATAAAAACTACAGGACCCATACTATAGCCTCAATTTCATAATTGCCAAGTGCCAAACACCAGGAAGAAAAAAAACTTATGGTTTTTAAATGTTGCCTCTAATGGGAAGTGATTAGGATGCTGCTGAGCATGGCACATGCAAATCATGATCCCGATAAAAGCATTTCATCTACAAAGTGTGGAGTCAACATGATAAACAATTTAGTTACATATAAGCCTTCACTTGGGTAGGAATTGAGTTTTAAAGTTCCTGTAAATTTGTGGTCCTAGACAGACTGGTGGCCTGCCCAGTCACTATCTTCCTTAATACAACATACTGTTAGTTATTACTTGTTATAGGGTATCACTTTTTTGTTTCCACAAAAATAAAAAGCTGTAGGTCATCAAAAGGTGGAACCTTTACTTTTAAGGGCCAGCTAAAAGCATTTAAAGAGCCTAGGAAATCCCCATCAGCCATTTATGTACAATAGCAGGGAGTACAATTATTAGGCAAGAAATTCCTGAAAACCTAAAAAGGCACTAGAAATGACTCTAGTTGTCCACTTTAATAAGAATCACCACCCACAAAAGAGCTGATGTTTGACAAGTGTCGCTAAAGTAGGCTGAAAATAGGTCTGACTAAAAATTAAGGACATGTATTTTAAAGAAAACAATTTTATTCAGCAGTTACAATTAATCATCTATTTTTCTACATAATTTGTGAATTTTTCAACGAATACTTTCATCACTTGCTTCTGTTCATGTTTTCTTGACCATGTCTTCATTGTTCCTTCTAAAAGACTGCATGCCATACCTTCAAAAGAAAAGAACAGTAACTGAAGTTACTGAAAATCAGTAACTTCAACAGTAAGTGCCCCTCAAAAAATTAATGCTGAGAAAACCATAACCCAGAAATACAAAGGCAACTTCAAAAGTAATTGATTCTAGCCCTATAGAGTTTTAGCAGATAGTTCTGAACTATTAACAGATGTGGTTGGTTAAGAAGTCAGAATTACTTACATGAGGCAATGAAGAATTTTTAAACACTATCACCAAAAGACTTGTACATTCATCTGCAGCAACCTGTAGGCCAAAGAGAAATATTTCGCTTATTTCAATAGTATTTGCTCTAGATTCAGTAACTGACATCATTAGACTACTGGCATCTCAGTCTTAAAATGCTTTCATCAAAGAAACCCTCTGCTGGGTAAACGGCAAAAGTTTAAGTCATCATTGTGCCAGCTGTTGAGCTTATCTGTGTTACTACATTACACGTTTTGGCTACTGCCCTTTACTGAAAAAGGAGGAGGTGGATTACACAGTACCTTGTAACATGCAATTTACTTCAGTCATCTTCTATGATGAGTTTTTGAGAAGCACTGTTCACAACCTTCACACATCTTCAAAATGCATAGGCTTTGTTGTACCTAGAAATTAAATATTTTAATTATTTGTACTTCAATTTATTTGGCATTTAAATGTGGGAAGATACCAATATGAATTTCATTAGGAACCAGACTCAATTATAGTTTACAACTTTTCAACTCTTTAATTCCATGAATGAGTTTGTTTCTAAAATGGAAGTCTGGGTCATTAGCAAAAGTAGGAAAAACGGTGGGAACCTTTATCATATCCTTCACTGCTCTTCATACCATTCATTCTGGCAGTACTGAGAGCCTGTTTGAAGATTCTAGCAGGGGTGCGCAGCTACTGCTATGCTCTTGACTGAGGAAGGGTCCTCCTCTATCAGTGGGGTCATCTGTCCTCTTTACAGAACGTGCAGCTTTGGGAGGGACACATATGGAGTGTTGAGGGCAAAAGGGGACACCCAGCTAGCTAGCAGATCAGCTGAACCAACCCTGGCGATCAATGGGGTGACAGATGTCAGAGCCAGGTCGCCCTCACATCCCACTGTGGCACTATTGATTTTAAGACACAATGGTTCTATTAATGACAAGTCATTGCTTTTTCTGTCTCAGTTTGACAAGGATGAACCATTAGCCATGTTAACGGTTAGGACTATAGAAACAAGCATGCAGACCTTCAGCAAGAACACTGAGTGGCAGACCTAGCAGCTTTAGAGAAAGGATACTTCATATTAGCAAGCTGACTGAAAATATAAGTACTGCAGAGTCACAAATCATGTCCTCGAGTACCCCAGGAGGATAAATCATTGAACCAGACAGCGACTGCAAATGATTTATGAACACACAGAAAGTTGGACCTGGTAGAACAATTTATCACTTTCATGCCTTGAAGTGCTTATTTTACAGTCAACAGGAATACAGAACACAAAATACTGAAAATTAACTCCAATCTGAAAAAAACTAATTCACAGGAAGTAAATAATGCATACATTTAAAACTTAAGAAAATGAATGTCTAGAGATGCCTTATGTATATGCCCCACTCTCCTCAAAAAACTAAGGCTGATGGATACACAATTCCAGGTAGTGCCTCTGAAGGGGTTAGGGGGATAAGACAGGGAAGAGACATTATAGTACTGTTAATGTATGAAATATAGACGAATGAGTGAGTTCTTTTGTACTTACTATGTTTCAGGATGTTCTTGCATTGCCAATTATTTACAAAACTTTTTCCACTGCGCTACATCTCCAGCCCTTATTTTTTGAGACCGGGTCTCGCTTAGCTGCTCAATCCGAGCTTGAACTTGGATCTTTCTGCCCCACTCTCCCAGGGCACTGGGATAACGGGCATGTGCCATGCCAAACTAGAACACTGAGTTTTCAAAATGGTTTGTTTTTCAACAGGAACATTTTCCCCTACCTCCCAGCTGTTGAGTGGATTCTTTTTCTTTTCTTTTTTACACCGTACTGGGGGAAACCTAGGGGTTTCTTTTGTTAATCCAGAAATACACATTTCCAATACAAGTGCAAACATCTAGGATTTTACAAAGAATAGGCGGGTTAAGGGCCTTCTATACTTGCACTTATTTGCAAGACAGCTCCAAATACCAACGATTTCTACCGGTTTTAGACCGATACTGTCAGTAAACTGCTTACTAAGGCCACTCACAAGGTAAAGGATCTTAGCACCTAAGACAATCTAATGAAGTCCCCTTTGGTCAAATGCTCCCGAAGGAAAAATAAAACCGCTAACGCGGAGGAGCCTGAAGCCACCAGGGCCGCACAGCCCTGCGGGGTAAACAAGAGGACCCGCCCTCGGCGCGGCGGAAAACGAAGGACACCCCTCCGGAGTCACGCAGACAGAGCCTTTTACTAACTTCGGAGCAGCAGGTTTGCTGCGGAGCCATCACGTAGGACTCGCGGGCGGTTACAGAGCGATCGAGGAAAGCTCGGGCCGGCCCAGCGCCGGTGGGTGGCAAGGCTCCGGGCCGCCGGGTGAGCGGGCCCGCCTGGCACCCAAAGGTGACGGAGCTCCGCGCCGAGAGCAGGGACTAAGCCAGGAGAACTCTCACCCCGAAGAGCCTGGGGACGGACGCCCAGGCGCTGACGGCGGGCCGCGGCCCGGCTCCTCCGGGACTGCGCGGAAGAGGAAGCGCGGCGGCAGGGGGTGCGCCGGGCGCCCCGACGAGGGCCACGCCCCTTCCGGCCAGGGGCCACGCCTCTCCGGGGGGCGGGGGTGGCAGCTGAGCGGCCCGGGGGGCGGCGTGGGGAGTCGTATTGCTGGGTTCTTCGCCTGCACTGGGGGTGCCAAGCTTCCGTAGAGGGTTTTAAAGCTCACGGATGTTTCAGCTAGAGCTGCTGCATTGAATATGCAAATGATGAAGCCCCTGGCTTGTAATAATGCTCTACAAAAAGAAGGTACTTAAGCATTCGCGTATTTCAGTGTTTAAATGGTAGTGGTGGACAAAGCAATTTAAAATAAGGGTTCTGGCATAGGCCGTTTTACAGACGCAGAAGACAGTCTCCAAAGAACCTGTTATATTTCCTCTCACTACTTATATTGATAATAGAGTTTTTAAAACGTATCCATAAATCAGTTGCCTGCTTCGTTTATGAACATTTTATAATTGACTAATTTCTGTTTTATTACTCTTCATTTCTTTCAATTATTATTGAGTCCTGGCTGCAAAGCATAGGCTTGGTGCAAGAAAAGAATGGTTCGTAAACTTGTTGCCTGAAAGAACACACAGGAAGGCACACAACTGAACCACTGGATCATTAAAAGGGAGATCATCTGCTTTAACGTGAAGCCTAAGAAGTGGATACAAAAACAGAGTATAATATACAAATTTGCCTCAAAGCAATATATGATATACACATCTAAGTCTAGCAAAACAAGTTGTTTTCATACTTTCCTAGGTAAGTTTTTGCTGAGTGGTTTACAGGAATTTTGAAATCTTCCTTTTGGGCCCCACGTGCAAATTGTTTCTTTTATCAAGCAGCAAGATGAGCCTCAGCCTACCTCGTAGACGAGAATTCCTTCTGGGACGTTGCTTCAGCAACCGAATTTTGCAGTCTGGGCGAACATCTGTGACAGGTGAGTTTGGATGTTGAACGCACTGACGCTAAGGGCAACAGCTTAGGCAAGTTAGGCCCAACCGAGTCCTGGGCCGTGTGAGAAAGAACTGGAGACAAGCGTGGTCACCTGTTCTTCCTCTGCCAACCCTCCCTGCAGGATAGCGCCTGAGTGGCTGCCGCTTTTGTTGCCGCCTACTAGAGATGTTCTCAAGGCACCTAGTCTCCATTGCCAAGAGATAACCAAGGTGGGTGGATAAATGTGGAAGAGGTTGCTACTTTACTGACTTAATACATTCTTTCTTAAGACTGGATACAATTCAATATGACTAAAAATTTAGGTGTTCCTAAAACTGCACTGGCCATTTTCAGGTTATCATCTTAGTTCATTTAAAATTAATAATATCATTAAATAAATATCTGCTTCTACTGCAGGTAACAAAATAGTTGACTAAAGAGGCTTTTTAAAAATGAAAAGTGTATTTTTTCCATATTACAAAAAAGTCTAGAGGTATTAACCAACGCTAAGGTTAGTTAATTCAGCAGTGCAACATTGTCAGGGGCTCAGGTTAAGTTCTCTGAGATTCTCACTTTACCCTTCCTACTTGCAAAAAATGCTCTCATAGCTGTAAACATCACATTTTTATATACCAAATTCCAAAAGCAGGGAGGTGGGACATTTCTTTTCATGTGTCTCTTAACTAGAGCAGGAAATCTTTCAGAGAATACCTACAATAGATTTTTGTCCAGGTGCACTTAGCCATGATTTGATTACAAGTTGAGGCATTATCAGCTTATGTGGAAGGGTGAGCTCTGACAGTAAAGGGAGACAGTCTGAGAGAGGCTACCAACTGTACCTGCCATAAGGGAGGATCTTAATTATAAAGTTTGGGATTGTTGTGAATTTCATGAGCCCTTTTTTCATTAATATACGAAGAGTATAGGCTCATAAAGAAAAATACAGAAATTGTGACAAATACTGTAATGATACAGGTTTTCAGTTCAACTTCTGCTTTAAAAGTTGTCACAGAAGCAAAAGTAATTTAATGCAGCTTTATTGACTACAAAAAAGTGTGCATATGTCAAATGAAAAATCCAGTAAGTCTTCACATGTATATACCTATGAAACCATCACCACATTCAAGATGACTGTATTCACCATCCCATTCTTTCATTCAGTGTAATTATTTTGAGATTCATTGATGCTCTGGTAGCCTAACAACAGTGAATTCCTTTTTTATTGTTGAGTAGAAGTCCATTAAATGGGAATACAGTACCACAACTTGGTTATCTATGGTTCTGCTGATGGAGCTTTGGATGTTTCCAGTGTTTGCATATTACAATAAAGTTGCTATGAACATGCATCTAAAGTATGTCTTTCTACGGACATATGATTTTTCTTCTGGTAAATACCCAGAGATAGAATGACTGGATTATAAAGTGTACATATGTTTAACTTTGTAAGAAAGTTAAATTGTTTTTCAGAGTGATTGTACCATTTTACATTTCTGCCAACAGTGTCTGATAGTTTCATATGTTTCACATTTTTGGTATGGTCTTTTGATTTTAGACTTTTGAACCCAGGTGTATAGTGATATTTGACTTCACTTTTAATTTATGTTTCCATAATTAATAATGGGCATCTTTAAACATGTTTATGTACCACTTAAATACCTTTTTTGATTGTCTTAGTTTTCTTGTTGCTAGGACAAAATACCCAACACCCACAAGTTAAAGGAGGAAAGGTTTCTTTTTGCTCATATTTTGCAGAACTTTAGTCCAAGGCAGGTTGGCAAGGCAGAGGAGCATCACAGAGGAGAAACAGTCCATGGCAGAGCAAGCAGGAGGCAGCAAGCAGCGAGCCTGCCTGCCTTCTTTTCCCCTCATATTCCATCCATGCTCCAAGCCTATTGATCGGTGCTACCCGCACCCCGGGTGGGGCTTCCCACTACCTACACCCAGAACGATGCTAAACCAATCAGTGGACTAATCCAGTCATCATACCCTTAATCTGTATTCACATGCCTTTAACCCATATTCACACCCCCTGGAGCCAGCCACCTCAGAAAAGCCCCACCTATGAATGCATGAGGTTTTGAGGGGATATCCAGATACAGGCCATAACATTGATGAAAGTAATACCTATTGAAATTCTTTGCATATTTGAAAAATTGTTTGTTTTCTTATAATTGAATTTCAAGGGTTCATTATTCATTATATGGAGTTTTAAAAATGAGATATGATTTGCAAATATATTCTTCCTGTATATACTTTGTCTTTTTGTTCTTATAACAGTGTGTTTCAAAGATAAATTCCTTATTTTGATGAAGGTAAATTTATTTATCTTCTCCTCCTTCTCTTCCTCTTCCTCCTCCTCCTGCTCCTCCTCCTCTTGTTTTGCTATGCAGGGTTTTGCAATGCAGTTCAGGCTGGTCTTGAACTCAGTTTGCAACCCAGGCTGGCTTCAAACTCGCAGCGATCCACCTGCATCAACTTCCTAAGTGCTGGGATTACAGGCATGAGCCACCACACCTGGACTGTTTTCTTCTTATGTGCACTTTATTTTAGTGCTATGTCTAAGAAACTACCTATTTCACATTTCTGGAAAATCTATTTTTTATAAACAATAGGCATATTCAGTTGTCCTTGTATAGAGTAAATTTTGTATTTAAGGCTCACATTGAATCTCTCAATATCTATGTTCATACAGATTATGTCATGAAAGTTTTTAAAAGAAAGAAGTAAAAGTATTTTAATTATAATAAATATGACCCTAAATATATGCAAAATTATAAAGAATGCATGTACTTTCAGAATCTATTAACAATAAAAAAAAATTTAAAAAAAACTTTTGCAAAGTCACTTGATAAAATGTTAATATGCAATAATTAATTTTATCTCTGTATATGGTTAAACCTCATGGGTTATGTCATGAATTTTGCCTAAACTCATTAAGTTCCTGTTATCGTTTGGATTTAAAATGTTCCCCCACAGCTCATATGTTAAAGGATTGGTCCACAGCTGATGGTGCTGTGGGAGGTGGTAGAAACTTTAAGAGATGGGGCCTCGGTAAAGTTAGGTCACTGAAAGTGCTCTCCCAGAGAGGATACTGGGACCTTCCACTCCTTGTCTCCCTACTTCCTACCTGCCATGAGGTAAGCAGTCTTTCCCTCCCACACACTTCAGCCGTAATGTTCTTCCTCGCCACAGGCCCAACTGATGGGGTCAAACAACCATGCAGTGAGACCTTCGAAAGTGTGAGCCAAAGTAATCTTTTGTCCTTTCACATGACCTCAGGTAGGTTATCACCGTACAGGAAGCTGACTAACACAGTGCCCTCAACATTGAAGGACTCCTTAAACTAGACCAGTCAAGCCTTTGCTGGGACAAAATACGTAGGCCTCCTCATTCTGGCACACTGTAAGACTCTTCTTCCCTTTCTTTGATCTGAACTTCAGCGCCAACTTCTCAGTGAGCCACTCTTGCCCTGCTTATCTAAAGTAAGCCCACTCCAACGCATTTCTTTTTTATTTGCATCTAGTACTTATTATAACCTGAATTATCTTTTTAAAAACTTTATATACTTTTGCACCCTTATATAAGTTCTGTGAAAGGAGAGACTTTGTGTGCTTTGTTCACCTTTTTACTCCTACTACCTAATATAGTGGCACTTAATGAATATCTATTGCATGAATATGTCATACACATGTATGTGCTGACTCAGAAAAATGTAGATTTTTAAAACTAAGTTATACAATATATTTGAAAAAGATCCCATGTTGGATTAAATAAAAAAGACCTACATTCATATGATTTTTAATGGATAAAATATTTTGAGACATTACAGAAGAAACTTTTGAATGTATACTTCTACAGGATGAAATTTGGGGTTTGTGGGAAAGTGATATTTTTATTTTTTGCTTTATACCATTCTTTACCATTTACATTTTTACTATGTATATGAACTGATCTTTTCTTTTTGTTTGCTTTTTTTTTCTAAACAGGGTCTTCCTCTATAGTTTAGACTGAACTTGAGCTCACTATGGATGTAGCCTAGGTTGGCCTGAGACTAATAGCAATCCCCTATCTCAGCCTCCAGAGGGACGGGATTACAGGCATTCACTACCACGCATGGCTCCTTATAACTAAATTTTTAAAAATTATTATAGTAGTACATTTTCTTTGCAGGATGTAAAAATAAACTATTTCTAAGATTTTTCCTTTCAATTCATTGCCTTGTCACTCTGGCATTAGGAAGAGTTTAGCCTTCTCCAGCAATGAGCAGATCCCTGAGGATTGCTGGTCTCTAATTACCAAACTGAGTTAATGCTGCCAGTTTTGCAAATACAATTAAAATCACTTCAACAGAAGTTTTCATGATTTAAATATAATAGCTTAGCAAAAGTAACTTAGAAATATCCAATCTTTGATATGGTTTTAACTAGGATAACCAGGATTACCAGAATTACCTTAGAAAGTTTACATTTTGTAATAAATATATGTGTGGATTCAGGGGCATATAGAATATTATTTTCTTGCAGGCTGTCAGAATCTATTGTCTGCACTTACACATGTAGATCTCATTAGTAAATTAATACATTTGGCCCCCAGCCCTTTTTCATATTAGTGGATAATTGGGAGAACCTCCCAGATCTGCTATTCGTTTGCAGTAGAAAATGACATTGTAACTGGTAGGAAGTCAGCTGTAATAACCACATCCTTGTGCTTTCCCCTGGCCGACAGTAAGCATGTCAAAACAGAGTTAATGCAAAAGAAATGTAAATGACCCTAGCCACAAATGCATGCCTTTTTTATATAAGGTCCTTTTATTTTAGGCAAGGTTATTTTAAAACATAATATTGACATTGAGATAATCATAGCATTTATACATCTCATCAAGTTTAAAACTCCAAATCTGTGGAAAAATACATTAAATTGTTAGAAAATGAGGCATTGAGCTGAATGAAAGTTGATTCGTAAGCACTTGAAGTACATGAACTTTACTGAGATAATTTTGGTGAAAATTACCTAAATTACTTAAGATTTCTGCCCGGATCTAAAGTAATGGGTTGGCCATAGTGGATTTAATTGTCAATGTGAGACACTAGGATTTTCCTATTTTTTATTTTACAATTTAACTTTCATATTAAGAATAAACCTTGAAAATAACTTCTGAAATCTTATGACAAATTCTGAATGGAATGGAATGTTTTAAATTGATCAAACTGACCAATGGGACTTGAGGGGAAGTTTGCTAGGGGATTTGAAAATTTTCTTTATTGATGCAGGGACATGTGCTCACTTTGGCAGCACACATATTAAAATTGGAATGATGAAGGGACACACACAAGGAGAGGTGGTTCTTCTTCCCTTAGACACCCTCATCTGTGAGAGAGTGCCCACCTCCTACCAGTGTCTTCCTAAGGGAGGGGAGCTCACTGGAGAGGGCAAAACAACCTAAAGACATTAAATAGCCACCAAATCAACTAAAATTTAGCAGCAAGGAAGCCACTCTAGCTTAGGCTTTTTCTTATGGGAATTTATACTTTTTTTTACTTTAAAAAATTATTCAAGAATAATAACATAGAGAGTTGAGATGGATAGTTGAAAACTTCAAGCCCAAGTTAAATTATGATGTTACATGTACCTAATCAGAATCACATAAATTATGTCATCAAATTAATATCACATGAAGCCTTCCAATGAGTTACAATAAGGAATTAAGTCTTAAGTTTTACCAGCTTCATCTTTAAGGGACAATAAGTGTATTGTTCTCAGAAATCTCTAAGGGAAAATAAGATTGACAAGGAATATTTTAACTGGAAGGAGCAGTTAACTGGAAGGCATAACATTACAATGAGAACTATGTAGAAAATGAATTTGAATACCCACAGTGTGTACTTTTGCACTCATTCTTGAGTATTATGTTTGTTTTTATTTATTTTATTTTGTTTTGGTACTGGGAATCAAACTCAGGGCCTTGTGCTTGCCAGGCAGGCACTTGTGCCACTGAGCTATATCCCCGGCCCTGAATATTGTATATATATATATGTCAGAGACCCCACTGTCCCAAAATGTGTGTCCCCACCTTTCAGAGGGTGTCACACTTGTGTATGTGTGAGAGCCCTCTCCCACGGACTTGGAAGCCTTTGTGCACTGATGAAGGTGATACACAGACATGTAGTCCCCACACTCTTGTAAAGCACACAGAACACAAATACAAATACTGTAGTGAGGCCCCTTTAAAAGAAAAGAAACAACTCTTTGCTATTTCACAATAGTTGTCACAGGTAAATCCTGCAGTTCTCTGAATAATAGCATGTTCACATGTGTGTAGCCTTCACTTTCTAGTGGATGTATCTTACCTTCGCCTTTTTGTTGACTTCAGCTTCAAGACCCAATCTGACCACCACATCCTGCTAGTTCTCCTTTTATAATGCGTTTATTAGAATGAGACCATGGGCAATTTACTGACTCTCTCTCTAAGTTGGTTTCCTCTTCCTCTTTAGTAGAATTTTGGAACAACTGAATGAGACAAGTTATGAAAGTCCAGGACCTGGAAGATGTTAACTATCAAGAAAGTGTTGGCACATTAGAACTGATGTTGTCCTGCCTCCTTTTTCTCTCCATTCTAGACCAGTCATCAGATTGGTCACTCTTCCTAAAGTATCTCTGAGGCTGGATAGGCGGCACATGCCTAGAATCCTAGCACTATAGGAAGCTGAGGCAGGAGGATAGCAAGTTCAAGCCCAGCCTGGACACCTTAGTGAGTTAATGAGACCCTATTCCAAAAAAAAAATCTTTGATATAAAATAGCGACAAAGGCTTGAGGTGTGGCTCAGCGTTAGAACACCTGCCTAGCATGTGTTAAGCCCTGAGTTTGATCCTCAGCACTACAAACAAATAACTAATATCAGTGACATCATTTACTCTGATCAGTTCCAGCTCTAGACCCTGACATGCTCCTGATCAATTCCCACCTAGGCTTATGGTGCAGAAGTTTGATAGATGTGGAGTGTTTGTGTTTCTAAATTACCTTTTATTTTTTGAAATGGGGTCTCGCTGCATATTTCAGGCTGGCCTCAAACTTGTGGTGATCCTCCTGCTTCAGCTTCCCTAGTGCTAGGATTACAGACATATGTAACCATGCCTGGCTTCTAAGTTACTTTTGATAAACTGTTACATTATCTTTAAATCTTGGAATTTTTTCGTTGAACTGATTTTTAGTTGTATTTTAATTTGCATTTTCCAAGAAGGTGAAAGATACTTTATATATGCTTACTTTTGTTTTTCCTTTAAAAATGCTTTTCATGGTGATAATCATTTGGATTTTCAATAAATCACAGTCCTCATAACCTTTGCCTAACTTTTATTGGATTATTTTATATTTTTAAAAATGTAATTATGGGCTTTTGTATGCATTCTGGATAGTAATTATCAATGGACAA